AAAAAAAAAAAAAAGAAAGATAAATAGTTGAGCCAAAATTATATAAAACTTCAGTGACCAGCATTTTGATTTTCTCTGGTTTTGGTATTAACTCCCTTATTTCTTAATTCATCTCCCATCTTCAGTGTGTTATGTCCTATATTGTATAATGTCATTAGAGTTTCAGTAGAGGCAGCTTCCCCTTCTTGGTTCCTCCCAGGTAATTCAGTAAAACTTAATCCACAGATAGAGGTTTCACACATGGTCCGAATGATAAAATACCATGGCCAAGCTTCCTTTATTCATTAATAGTGATGATTCTAACTAGATTGTCTATTTGAGTTTACATATTGTCATTGTCCTAAGGCATTTATATTTTTAGTGTAGTTTCAAAATTATCTGTATAGCTTCACCAAGTTCAGTGTTTTTTAGTCATTTTACCAGTTACTCTGAAATGACGATAGTAATTTTCAGGCACTGTTTTGATACTGAGAGATTAGTCTTCCATATTAGTCATAAGCTGTGTGCCAAAAATAGATGCAAAAATGTTTCTATAAATTTAATTCTAAGAATTTCTAAAATCTAAGGGGCCCCTGTGTGGCTCATTCAGTTGAGAGTCTGACTCCTGATTTCTGCTCACGTCATTGTCTTGCGGTTCATGAGTTCAAGCCTCACTGCATTGGGCTCTGTGCTGACGGTGCTGATCCTGCTTGGGATTCTCACTCTCCCTCTCTCTGCCCTTCCCTGGCTTGCTTTCTGTCTGTCTGTCTGTCTGTCTCTCTCTCTCAAAATAAATAAAGTTTAAAAAAGACTTCCAAAATTTAAGTCTTGAAGAAATTGTATTATGAAAGACTTTACTGTAGCAATTGCAGTGCATTAAATTTGTATTGTATTATCCTAGCTGATAAATGAAGACAGCCATTTAAACTGAGACTTCTTTTTTCTTTCTATAGTATCTTCAACCAATCTTGTCACTCCTCCAACAGTTGTCAGTAGTCAACCTAAGTTGCAGACTCCAGTTACTTCGGGTTCTCTGACAGCAACATCAGTTCTTCCTGCACCCAACACAGCTACAGTAGTTGCTACTACTCAGGTGCCTAGTGGAAATCCCCAACCTACAATCTCTTTACAACCTTTACCAGTGATTTTGCATGTACCTGTTGCGGTATCCTCCCAGCCTCAACTCCTACAGAGCCATCCAGGGACTTTAGTGACCAATCAACCGTCTGGCAACGTTGAGTTCATTTCTGTGCAAAGCCCACCTACTGTGAGTGGTCTCACCAAAAATCCAGTATCCTTGCCAGCCTTGCCAAACCCCTCTAAACCAAACAATGTTCCTTCTGTGGCCAGTCCTAGTATTCAAAGGAACTCTCCTGCCAGTGCTGCAACCTTAGGAACAACACTTGCTGTACAGGCTGTTCCAACAGCACACTCTATTGTACAAGCCACAAGGACTTCTTTACCTACAGTAGGCCCATCGGGACTCTATAGTCCATCAAATAATCGAGGTCCTATACAGATGAAAATTCCAATTTCTGCTTTTAGTACTTCGTCTCCTGCAGAACAGAGCAGCACTACTACCCCAAGAATTGGTAAGTCACTATATAGGCTTACTAATAGAAATACAAGCATGTTAATGGCCTTTAGATAATTGAATATTTGTGTTTGTGGAAGTGCTATCTTTATTTGAAGAAGAAAGTAAATAGAATACCCTGGAGATTACTTTTAGTAAGTTTTTAGCTACCTAAGAAATGATGTTGTTAAAATGGTATTTGAGATACAGTTTATTTTGAATGAAACGTTAACATTTGTAATGTAGCTTTTAGTAATTTTTCCTAATCTGGGTGAAATTTTTCCTTTAGGCTTTGAGGCAAGCATTATGAATTTCTTTTATTATGCGTTTGGTAGGAATATCTGAATAGAACAAATTTATTTTAAAGTATCTAATTTACAGAATATATGCATATAAGAGGAAATAACAAACAACATATCTTCCCTACCCATGTGGAAAAATCCTTTGTGCATTCATCACTCCGGTCTTCTAAATTTGAACAATTTAAAAATAGGTTCTTCTCTCTAATTTATTATAAAATGTTTGACTGCTTCTTGTTTTATCTTTTATATATTTCCCCTGTGACATAGTATATGATTATGTTTGTATATGTCTGTATACTCTCCAGAATTGCAAAAAGGAGAAATGGATTTTACCTGTATTTAAAATCTGTAAAACTTGGGGCGCCTGGGTGGCGCAGTCGGTTAAGCATCCGACTTCAGCCAGGTCATGATCTCACGGTCCGTGAGTTCGAGCCCCACGTCAGGCTCTGGGCGGATGGCTCAGAGCCTGGAGCCTGTTTCCGATTCTGTGTCTCCCTCTCTCTCTGCCCCTCCCCCGTTCATGCTCTGTCTCTCTCTGTCCCAAAAATAAATAAACGTTGAAAAAAAAAATTAAAAAAAAAAATAAAATAAAATCTGTAAAACTCTATGTCTTCCTTGTCTTTAGAAAGCACACATTTTGTATGCGTTATTGAACTTACTTATTCTTCATTTCTGGCCTCACATTTATTTCCACTATTGTAAAGTGGCTAAATGGGTAGGCATAATGTGTATAGTGAAATTGTTGTAATATCTCTTACTGATATAGTGACCATGAAATATAAGAAACATTCTAAAATACAAAATTACTTTTGTAAGTGAGATATACAAGCCTTTTGTTTTCTTTAATTTCCCATGTAGCCATTAGTAGTGTATTTGCCCTTCAAGTATATTTACTCATATAAATAGTGATTGCATTTTGTATTTCACAAGGCTGTTGAGAGAATAAATGAGTGGCTGATCAGAATTAACAGTGGACTGGAGCTAAATATCAGCTTCATACAAATTTACATCTGGGATATAAGAAGAAATCTGAAATTTTATATAAAAATGCAATTATTAATATGAGTATTTAAAATGTAAATGCTTGCATAGTACAGTAACAGTATTTGTTAGCCATATCTGCTACCACTTTATTCTTTAGACACTCTAATCCATGTTTGCAGCACTGAAGGATACTTGCTTTTTAAATGAGGTCAGTGAACAAGATTTTAAGGGGGTTACTTCATTTTTCTTTAACTTCTTTTTTTCTAATCCTTAGTATTTTTTAATATGTCAGGTAGAAGGTGATTTCTCCTAGACATTGTTTTATGTGATTTTTGAGTTTTTCCACTTTATGAAAGATTGAGCCTAAGTTGACACTTTTTAATTCATGGTAACAAAATAAGACAAATCCTTAAATATAGAAGTTTTCCTAAAAGACCATGGCCTGAAAAGAAATAAATAACTTAAAAGATATTGTTTAGTTTTGTGAATGCTCATACCCTAAATACTTCTACAGGTATCAGAGTTATAATTTAATTATTCTGTTTTCTTAAAATATTTATGAACATTTGTTGACACAAAGGGTATATGTTTCCCAAAATTACCTAGTTAAGGTATTCTATTAGTCATAGTAAGTGTCAGTTTGTTTCATATTCATTTAATGACTTGACTGTTCTTAATTGTTTTGTATGTAAAACTAATAATTTTCACAATCATTTTTAATCAGTACATCATTCTACTTATGTGATAATATACATTTATACTTACACTTAAAATTAATTTTTTAACATATATTTATTTAACACATTTTATGTACTTTATTGTATAAATTATTTTAAGGCGATCATTGTTTCAAGTTCTATTTAGAGTGCTTACCTACATTTGAAAGTAACTTATTGGATATTAACCATAAATGTGAATGATAAGCTTTCTTTGCATACTGTTCATAATGTTAATTAGAATGAGATCTGATGTGGCACGCCTGGGTGGCTCAGTCAGTTAAGCGTCCGACTTCAGCTCAGGTCATGATCTGATGGTTGGTGGGTTCAAGCGCCGCATCAAGCTCTGTGCTGACAGCTCAGAGCCTGGAGCCTGCTTCAGATTCTATGTCTCCTTCTCTCTCTGCCCTCCCCCACTTGCTCTCTGTCTCCCTCTGTCTCAAAAATACATAAACATTAAAAAAACAAAAGAATGACATCCGATGCAATGATATATTTTTTTATCATGCAAAATTTTAGAGGTGCCATCAATGACATTAAAGTAGGCCTTTAGCTATTTAGGCTTCCCAAAACCTAAACTGAAGTCATATGGCAAATTTTGGCTGAATATGAAGGTTGAAGCCAACTTTTAATACATTTGTAGTATGCTAAATATATTAGTTCTATAATTAAAACATTTTAAGTCTTATACTTATGTAGGTATTATTGATTTAATGAGAACATAAGCTATCCAACTAGAATGCATGAATTTGCATTTTATTATAGTTCATGTCCCCTTATGTATTAAGTCAGTATTTTCTGTTTCTATAGTAAAGTAAAAATCATCCTAAAGACTGCTAGGAGATTTAGGGTATGAGTTGTAGTTAATATTATTTATTCATGAAATATTGAATACCTATAACTCTTCTAAAATCCTGCAGGCACACAGAAATGTACAAAATAGTTCCTATTCTCACCAAACTCACAATTAAATAGGGAACCTTGCCATTAAATAAGTAATTAACTATAAATGTGATGAATGTTAAGATATGAGGTTCCTGTGAGAGGATGTGGGAGATCTGGAAAAGGTATGTGATAATATATGGAAAGGTGATAGGCAGAGGAATTAAAGGATTTTTGCAGAGGAGTGTGACATCCCTGAACACTGGCTGCAATAAGAAGAATGCTTTGGCGAGGATAAAAGTAGGGTTAGAGAGACCAGTTAGGAAGCTGTGGTAGTAATTCAGATGAGAGATGGTGTTGTGAAAATGATTTAAAAGTTTTGCATTCAATTCATTTCAATACACCAAATATCCAGCACCTAATAAGGAATACTACTAATTGGCACTTCTGTAAAAACCCTTTTGTGACTTCAGTAAAAATACAGTGTTGGTTAAATATGACATCATCTTTTAAGAATAGTAAAATAGAGAGGCTTCCCAAACGATAGAAATATTTTAAGGTACAATTTCTAATTTCTCACCCTGACCAGTTTTATTGATAGATTTACAGTCATCTGAAGTAGATATTATAAGTGAAATGGTAAACTGTTACATTAAGAATCAAAAAAGTCTACAATAAAGGCACAGGGAATATTAATTAAAAACCTAGATTAAGGAAGATTATTACAGTTATGGGAATAAAATCCTTCTAAGCCCAAATGAATATATTCTAACATTATATATAAAAAACTTTGGTGGTAAATCACTGATGTTTTGTAATGTCATCGGTGTATATTAATACTCGGCCATGTAGGATCAGTAAAATGGAATTTGTTTTTTACTAAGTAATATTTCAGGAACTTCACAGTCCAGAAAAGATGCTGATGTATTATAAATGAAGTACTTTTCAGATATTTTTTTTTAAAAAGTAGGGAATATATTAATATATTCTTCCTACAAGAAAACTAAGATAATTTAAAAAGGGTAGGGAGAAATTATAAGGGCCTCCTTTTTACTTCTGTAGCCTGGAAAACCCTCTTTTAATAGGTAGATGTTTATCCAAAATTTTTTGACATACAGGTGTGTGTGTGTGTGTATGTGTGTATTTTATATATAATGAAATACATAGTAGTGTTTCCTTTTAGCATAAATAATTTACTTTATATGTGTTCTGATGATTTGAAATGAAAGAATTCCCATATTTTAACCAAGAATATTACTATCTACAGAAAGCAAGGATAAGAATTTTTCAGCATTGGAAATTCACCACATTACCAAAGAGGAAAAGCTAAATAATTACCTCAGTAGATGCTAAAGACATTTGATAAAGTTTAATACCTTCTCTTTAGAAGTTGAGTCAGAAAACCATACTTGATTGATTTTCTCTGCTGTTCTAGAAGTAACTTTTGTGTGTATGTATGCATGTGTATCACAAACTCAATGTAAGTTAATTGAAAAATGACTAAAGAAAAATCTGATTTAACTACTGAGATTATGCATGTAAATTTTCTCAGAATCCTCGTGTAATGATTTTGCTAATGAATTTATTATACTTTTTGCCATTTTATTAAATCTTTTTCTCCAAAGATATATAGTATGGAAAAATTGTATTTTATTTAACGATTTACTTATGTGAGGATGTTTAAGTTGTACGTATCCTAAATTATTTCCAAAGATATTCCCTAGGATAGAATTAAATATTCTGGGCAATGGGTATGTGAAAATTTTTTCTCTATTGTAAATTTGCTCTTTTGAAAGTTACTGTAGCAGTGGTCTATGAGAGAGTTCATTTGCATATATGACATGTTGACAGAAAAAAAAATAATTGGAGAAAGTTACATGAATTGTTGCATATAAAACAACCAACCCTTTTACGTTCTGTAGGTGCTTTTAAAATGGCTTTTTTTTTTTTGACTCCTCAGAAAACCAGACAAACAAAACAATAGATGCTTCTGTTAATAAGAAAGCAGCTGATAGCACATCACAGGTAAGATTTTTTCCTTCTATTTCAAAGTAAAATTCCAGTTATAGTCCTTAGGGATAATGGATTTCCATCAATTTTTTTTTTTTTAACGTTTATTTATTTTTTGAGACAGAGAGAGACAGAGCATGAACGGGGAGGGTCAGAGAGAGGGAGACACAGAATCTGAAACAGGCTCCGGGCTCCGAGCTGTCAGCACAGAGCCTGACGTGGGGCTTGAACTCACAGACCGCGAGATCATGACCTGAGTGGAAGTCGGCCGCTTAACCGACTGAGCCACCCAGGCGCCCCTCCATCAATATTTTTTAATACAATGAAAATTATTCTAAGTTAATCATACTTTTCAGACCTAGAATTTCTGTTTTTGTATTTCAGTTTCTACTTTTGAGATTGCTTACTTGTGCATTCATTAATATTGTATTTTCCTTCATTTCTTTGAACTTTTTTTTTTTTAGAGAGGGGGGAGGGCAAAGAGGGAGGGAGGGGAGAGAGAGAATCCCAAGCAGGCTCCACACTCAGCCCAGAGCTTGATGTGGGGCTTGATCTCACAACCCTGAGATCATGACCTGAGCCAAAATCAAGAGCTGGTTGCTCAACCAACTGAGCCACCCAGCAACCCCTCTTTCAACCTGTTTTTTAAAGCTGCTTTTAAGCCTTTGCTGAATTCAACATCTGGTTCTACTTGGACTTATTTTCTGTTGACTCTCTTTTGTCTTTAGTTGGGTTCTTTTTTACTGGGCTTTGCATGGTTAGTAATTTTTGATAAATTTAAAATTTAGAAAATTTTGAAAAGTGGACCTTATAAAATACACTGCAGCAAGTGGATTCTGTTACATTCTTTAAGGATTTAAGAACTTTTAGTTTTGGATTTTAGATTGTGGTGTGTGTTGACAAGTCATTTTCAATGAAGTCATCATCATAGAAAGATTTAGAATTACATCATTACCTTCGGATTGGGCCTGAAGTTTTTAATGTCAAGGCATTGTTTCCTTTAATTTTGTGAAGTCTGAGTTTTGCAGTTTTTAAAAACCTTAATCATTTGGAGCTGATCTCAGTATGGTATAAAGTAATTATGATTAGCATTTATTACACAGCACGTGTTATGCCTAGTGTTAAGCTCTTTCTATGCATATTTGGATTAGTCCTCATAACAGATCGCATATCCATACTTTGGAAATTGAGGATATTACCTTTTAACATAAATTTACATAGCTAATATGTGTCAGAACTAAAAGATGCCATCGGTCTTTTTGACTCAAAGATACTGGTTCTTTAGGTCTGTGTTGTACTACTTTCCTTTTTTGTTGCTATTGTGGAGTTAAAAAAAATTGTTTTAATTGCATTTCTAATGATTTGGGACAATGGGTTGACTTTGGTCAAATTGGATGTCAGTTAATAGTATAGCACACCATATCTTATCCTACCATGTAAAATTTTTAGGGAAGAAACATAGGTCATTTTGTGTAACTTAATTCTAGCTTTGAAGTTGCTTTTGGCACTTTGGTGAATTAATATTGGTATTAATATTAGTGTAGTAAATAATATTAATGTAATGTTTGTAGAATTCATCAACATTTTAAATGTTGGAAAATATAGTGTTTGTGTTTAATCACTTACCAATTAAAGTACCTAATCACTTTAATAGCTCTATGCAATTGACAGATTTAGAAAAAAAAAAAAAAACAACTTGTAGAATTTCTTGTGAGAATGTTTCACAATTATTTTTTATATGACACATGTTATGAGTATTCGGGGATCATTTATCTGACAAACTCTTTTTTTTTCAGGTAGTGCCTTTTAGGGGGGGTCCAGATTGAACCAGGCTACTCATTTATTCTAGTTGCCCCTTAGTATTTTAGTTTTCCTCTATGTCTTCTAGAGTTTCCTTTGCAAAATACAGAAATTTTGTTTTTCAGAGTGGAAAAGCCACAGGCAGTGATTCGGGTGGTGTCATTGATCTCACAATGGATGATGAAGAGAGTGGAGCTTCACAAGGTACTTATAAGTAATGGTACCAGTACCAAGGAATGCTTTGTAGCATTTTTTTCTCTTAATTCAGTATGATAATCAGTGAAGACAGATATCTACAGCATTATGCTTGATATATTTGTATCTATGTTAGAAAGAGAGTTTTTTATATTAGAATTTAAAAATTGAAATCTAATCTTGATGAATATGAACAAAGCATAGAGAAAAACAGAGCAGTTAAGAGACTGTTTAACTTCTAGAACACTCCTCTTTTTATATCTTATTTCACTTGATCTTTACAGTAACCATATAATGCCTATTTTATAGTTGAGAGTAGATTCAAAGAGAACAAGTCAGAGTCAATTAGGGAGCTGGGGATCAAACCCATGTCCTCTGACTCTAAATTAAGTGTTCTTTCTGCATATGTATGTGTGTGCACACATGCACATTCAGGTGCCCTTTAATGTAGGTACTATCACGTGTGTATACATTTAATTCTGGTTATTTGAATTAATTTTCTTTATTTAGTATTATATAAACAAAAATGAAGGTGATGTTAAAAACCTGCACACCAAATTCTTCAATATTATTTTGAGTTACAGTGTTTAGAAATTACAACCAATATTCTTAGTTATTCTTCTCCAATGTTAATAGGTAATCTGAATAAAAAGTTCAGTAATTAGGGGCGCCTGGGTGGCGCAGTCGGTTAAGCGTCCGACTTCAGCCAGGTCACGATCTCGCGGTCCGTGAGTTCGAGCCCCGCGTCAGGCTCTGGGCTGATGGCTCGGAGCCTGGAGCCTGTTTCTGATTCTGTGTCTCCGTCTCTCTCTGCCCCTCCCCCGTTCATGCTCTGTCTCTCTCTGTCCCAAAAAAATAAATAAAAAAAAGTTGAAAAAAAAAAAATTAAAAAAAAAAAAAAAAGTTCAGTAATTAAATATACTTGGAGAAATGCTGAATGAAACAAAATTGTATGTTTTTTTTTCCTTTTATACAGACTTCTCTGAGCTTTTCTATGCTAATCTATAATTTTTCCAAGAGAAATTCAAGATATAAAGTATTTCTCAAACTTACTTGCACAACTATTCACAGACATATCTGCGAAACTGTGGTGATAATTATATAATTATAATTATATAATTATACTAAGATAAGGTAGTCGGCTAATTGTTATGTTAAAGACATTAAATTTAAAAATCACCTAAAGTTTAAATATTTTAGGGAATAAGATTCATTGGTTTTAGGAAAACAAGCTGATTATTATGTGATAGGAAGTCAATTTTTTTGTATAACTGATGTAAAATTGGAAGATTTATGCCATCATTTGTCAGAATTGAATTCATACCACTATGATTATTGTTTACATAAAAGGTTTCAAATTATTTGCATTGATTTTTCTTTTTTTTATTTTTATAGACAAGTCTAAATATAATGAATCCCTAGAGGACAAAATAAATACTTGTTATTTTTTAGAGGACACAGTTAGGGCTGATTCTAAAAGTTTTCAGTGCTCTGACTGCTCCCTTTCTAGCATCCCTGCCTCATGGGGCCTTTTCCTATGGCCCCAGCTTTGCACCTTCAATTTTTCCATTGTACCGTCCTCCCTCCATCAGGACCCAATTAACATAGCTACAGCCTTAAATTTTATTTACATTTTAGTGCAGAATTCCTTAGGACAGAAATCAATGGGGATCATTTTGGATAGAGGGCTTTTGGTTATACTCTTTACATTATGCCATATAGTGGTTACCTAGTATTTAAGGCTTGTTCTGAGATGCAAACATTTATTCCATAGGCTATAGAAGACTTTTTTTGAGATTAGACACTATGTGTATCTTATTTTAAAGACTGGGTAGTGTAAATAAGCAACCATCTGTCTTATCAAACAAAAGAACCTAAACAACAGTAATTGGAGTTCAAGATTGCTGGTGAAAAGCTCATTGATTTATAGGTATTTGTTTAGGAGATTGTCCTTGATAATAGATACATAGATATATATGAATTAGGAAATGAAATTACTCTGATTGACATGATATTGTATTGAGTTCAAAAATAGTATTCATTCATAAGCAAATGTAAGATTATATCTCTGTAAATGTGAATTAGAAGATGTGATAGAACCAACAGTGAATTATTTAAGGTTGTGTTGTGGTGTTTCAACCTAGCAAATATACACATAATTAAATTGGAAATAAATTGTTTTCTTAGTGGTAATTGTAACTGAGGGGCAAGCAAACACAAAATTCACAAATACGAGAAGAACCTGTATTTCTGATTTTTTTTTCTATCAGTAATCACAATGTCTCACTTTTAATTAATAGACCCGAAAAAGCTAAATCATACCCCTGTGTCAACCGTGGGTTCTTCTCAGCCTGTGTCTCGACCATTGCAACCCATCCAGCCAGCACCACCTCTTCAACCATCTGGGGTGCCAACAAGTGGACCATCACAGACAACCATACATTTACTACCTACAGGTAGACTTGCTGAATCATTGAGTTGAAGCTTTTAGTTTTGCCTCCAGTGAAATACGACTATGGAATTAAGTGGAAAGAATAGACAGCAGATTAAGGATAATTTTCTGTTATTTTGAAGACAGTGCATCTTTTTGAATGGAGTGTAACTTAGTTTTGCTGACCATCTTAAGTAATGGCACTGATATGGAGTGGTTATAAAGAAGAAAAATTGTATATGTCTTTGTCATCTGCCACTGTAAGCAGCAGAAATGAATATAGTTTCTCTGGAAGGGATGGGTGTAATGATTTGTTCTGGTTATGACCTTGAAGTAATAAGTGACTGATGAAATAAGAAATTTTAAATGATTCTTAACTTGAACTAGTTTTAACTGGCCTAACACTATCATTGGGAGATACATACCAATATTTTACTGACTGCCTTTCCAGAAGTTATAAATCTGACATTTTCAAGATGTACCCTAGATCTCCTAAACTGTTTGAAAGCCAATCAAGACGGTTTGCCTTTTTTTTTATAAAATGGCCCATCATTAAAGATTTATCTGCAAAATACTTAAATAAGGACTTTTCTTGTTAAGGAAAACATTGAGTTCACATGGAATTTTATCTAGTGAAATCAAAGTGTAAGTCATGAATTTAGATAACTTAGAAGAAATCTCAATTATGCAAACAAATCATATGTAGTATAGAAAATAAAATGGGTAATAAAGAGATGAAGAGATAAGCATTCCTCCTTGTATACTTTCTTCCCCTTTCTCAAAGCTCACATTGAAAGTTCAGATGTGTAAAGACTAAAGACTTTAGTAAGTAAGCCATTAGTAAAGAAAACCTTTTTATCTTTGTCATATCCACTGTTTACCTACAAATTTATTTTATAGAATGCATTTTTCCATATAAAAGTAGATTTATTATTTTTATTATATAGTTAATGTGTGATCATTTGTAAAATGTGATAGTAATTCAGAGAGTTATTAACAAGAAAATGTTAACTCCTAAAAGTAATTATTATAGTTCCATGCTGTCGGTGAACATTTAGGACTTTTTTGATAGATATATGTTAATATCACTCAAGGTATGAATGTTCTTTGGAACATAGATTAGGAGGAATGCTGGAGTAGAGAAGGAAGAATTCTGTATTTTAATTGATGTTTTATTGTTTTGAATAAGAGATGGCTCAGTTCACCTAAAGAAAATTGTCAGTAATAATAGCTAGCCAGTTTCGTGAACTGTGAGTATACAGTTACTCTTGGGTTTATGCCATTAGCAGAAAGCCTAAAGGGGCCCAAATCCCACTCTACTAGGAATAATTAAACATTAAGGAGTGAAAATTTGCTGTTTTAAGTCACTCCCTTAAGATCATGCTCTTAAGTCTTTATCTTCACGTGCTTATTACCTAGTCAAACAAGAGTGGGAAAGGCATTGGGCATGGGTGAGGCAGCCTTTTCTTCTGAAGCTTGGACTGTAATAATAGTGTTCTTAATTTTGGTTGGCTTTACTACTTTTATCTTTCAAGATTACAAAAAGAGACTGTTATCTGTATTTCTGTCTTTATTATAGTTAATTAGATTTTGTACAGCATTCATTACAATTAATACTGTTTAGTTAACATAGAACTTAACTGCATTTTGATATGTTTTCTCTGCTTTTCATTAGCTCCAACCACCGTGAATGTAACACATCGGCCAGTAACTCAGGTGACCACAAGACTCCCTGTACCGAGAGCGCCTGCAAACCACCAAGTGGTTTATACAACTCTCCCAGCACCACCAGCTCAGGCTCCCCTGCGAGGAACTGTTATGCAGGCTCCTGCTGTTCGGCAGGTCAATCCCCAAAACAGTAAGAGACTCTTTTCTTGTGTAGGGCCCCAAGTTATATGTAGTTCTGTAGCATTTAGTTGGCTTGTATTGACATTAGATTTGAGAAAAAAATGCTTACAATATCATAACAAAACTAATATTAAGTTTTTTCTTCCCTTTGGAGACTTAACCAGAAAAATTGGACGTGTATATTATATGATTTGTGCTCCAGGTGTTGTCTTCAATTTAACTGTATTTATGGTTTATACTCTCAAAATACTCTGTTTGATACTGGTCTGTACTCTGTTAAGAGATACATTGCCTGATTAAAGTGGGAATGATCAATTGTGGCTTGGCCCAGATAATGGAAATAATGGTAAAGAATAGCTTCCAATGAGAGAGTCTTAAAGATATGGAAGGTGGCTGAGAAGTAAAAGATCAGAAAATGTTAAAGGAAATCTATTGTTTGCGTGCACATGCACACACACACGTGTTTATATACATATATACATACAGATACATATTTTATATATATATATTATATTTGGTAGTAAAATATATTGTGCATATAGAGGTTTATATACAAAGCATATGTAAAGTTTATTATTATTTTTTTAATGTTTTTATTTTATTTTTCAGAGAGAGAGAGAGAGTATGAGCAGGGAAGGTGCAGAGAGAGGGGGCTGCAGAGGATCCAAAGCAGGCTCTGTGCTAACAGCAGCGAGCCAGATACAGGACTCAAACTCATGAACCATGAGGTCATGACCTGAGCCAAAGTTGGACGCTCAACTGACTGAACCACCCAGGCTTCCCAAAAAAGCAGCTTTATAAAATTTAATAACATGGGCATTTTTAAATGCTTTTTAAAGAAACTGTCATTATTATGTGATGATTTCCAGGAGAAAATAAACTAAGCAGAGTTTCTGGTTCACAGTTTGGCTTCAGTTTTCTCCAGCTTACAAGAGCTTTTTTCTGGGAAATCAGTACGGTCATGAATGAGTTCTGGGAAACTGCGCTCACCATAGTCAGGGTGCCAGGCAGAACTATAGGATAGGCCAGGAACTGAGTATATGGCAGGAATGTGGTCCAGGCAGTAGGCAACTAAATTGTCTAACAGATATATTCAGAACAGTTCATCCTAAAGCAACAGAATGCACATTCTTTTTGAGTGCTCATGGAATGTTCTCCAGAATAGATCACATACTGGGTCACAAATCAGGCCTCAGCTAATGACTCAACTAATGTCTTAGATCACACTATGCATATTTTCAGACTACAATGCTATGAAACTTGAAGTCGACCACAAGAAAAAATTTGGAAACACCACAAATACATGGAGGTTAAAGAACACACTACTAAAGAATGAATGGGATAAACAGGAAATTAAAGAAGAAAAAAAATGCATGGAAGCAAATGAAAATGAAAGCACTACAGTCTAGAACCTTTGAGATGCAGCAAAAGTGGACGTAAGAGGGAAGTGCATAGCCATACAGGTCCACCTCAAGAAATAAGAAGTCTCAAATACACAACCTAACCTTATACCTAAAGGAGCTAGAAAAGGAACAGCAAATAAAGCCTAAAGGCAGCAGGAGAAAGGAACTAATAAAGATTATGGTAGAAATAAGTTATAGAGAAATAACAAGAAAAAAACTTCAGTAGAACAGATCAACAAAACTAAGAGCTGGTTCTTTGAAAGAATTAATAAAGTTGTTAAACGCCTAGCCAGACTTATCAAAAAGAAAAGAGAAAGGACCCAAATAAATAAAATCACAAATGAAAGAGGAGAGATCACAACCAACAACACAGAAATACAATTATAAGATAATATGAAAAATCATATGCCAACAAACTGAGCAATCTGGAAGAAAGGGACAAAGCTCACAAACTACCAAAACTGAAACAGGAAGAAACAGAAAATTTGAACAGACCCATAACCAGCAAAGAAGTTGAATAACTAATCAAAAGTCTCCTAACAAACAAGAGTCCTGGGCCAGATGGCTTCCCAGGGGAATTCTTCCAGACATTTAAAGAAAAGTTAATACCTATTCTTCTCAAACTGTTCCAAAAAATAGAAATGGAAGGAAAACTTCCAAACTTGTTCTACAAGGCCACTATTACCTTGATTCCAAAACCAGACAAAGACTTCACTGAAAAAGAAAACTATAGGCAATATCCCTGGTTAACATGGATGTAAAAGTTCTCAATAAGATACTAGCAAATTGAATGCAACAGTACATTAAAAGAATCATTCACCACAATCAAGTGGGATTTATTCCTGAGCTGCAAGGGTGGTTCAATATTCGCAAATCAATGTGATATACCACTTTAATGAAAGAAAGGAGGGGCACCTGGGTGGCTTAGTCGGTTAAGCATCCGACTTCGGCTCAGGTCATGATCTCCCAGTTCCTGAGTTCGGGCCCTGCATGGGGCTCTGTGTTGACGGCTCGGAGCCTGGAGCCTGCTTCGGATTCTGTGTCTCCTTCTTTCTCTGCCCCTCCTCTGCTCACACTCTGTCTCTCTGTCTCTCAAAAATGAATAAAACAGGGGCGCCTGGGTGGCGCAGTCGGTTAAGCGTCCGACTTCAGCCAGGTCACGATCTCGCGGTCCGGGAGTTCGAGCCCCGCATCGGGCTCTGGGCTGATGGCTCAGAGCCTGGAGCCTGTTTCCGATTCTGTGTCTCCCTCTCTCTTTGCCCCTCCCCCGTTCATGCTCTGTCTCTCTCTGTCCCAAAAATAAATAAACGTTGAAAAAAAAAATTAAAAAAAAAAATGAATAAAACATTTTAAAAAAGAAAAGAAAGGATAAGAACCACACGATCCTGTCAATAGATGCAGAAAAAGCATTTGACAAAATACAGCATCCATTCTTAATAAAAACCCTCAACAGAGCAGGGATCGAGGGAACATACCTCAATATCATAAAGGCCATATACAAAAGGCCCACAGCTAATACTATTCTCTATGGTCAGGAAAAAGACACGGGTTTCACTGTCACAAAAAGAAATAAAGGACATCTAAATTGGCAAAGAAGAAGTCCAAATTTCACTATTTGCAGACACCATGATACTCTATGTAGAAAACCCAAAAGACTACACCAAAAAAAATGCTAGAACTGATACATGAATTCAGCAGTCACAGGATATAAAATTGCTGTATGGAAACCTGTTGCATTTCTATACACGAATAATGAAGAAGCAGAAAGATAAATCAAGGAATCAATCCCATTTGCAACTGTACCAAAACCCACAAGATACCTAGGAATAAACCTAACTAAAGAGGTAAAACATCTGTACTCTGAAAACTGTAGAACACTTATGAAAGAAATTGAAGGGGACACAAAGAAATGGGAAAACATTCCATGCTCGTGGATTGGAAGAATGTCTATACTACTCAAAGCACTCTACACATTTAATGCAATCCCTATCAAAATACCATCAGCATTTTTCACAGAGCTAGAGCAAACAATCGTAAAATTTGTATGGAATCACAAAAGACCCTAAAGGGCCAAAGCAGTCTTGAAAAAGAAAAGCTAAACTGAAGGCATCACAATTCTGGACTTCAAGCTATATCACAAAGCTGTAGTCCTCAAGACAGGGTGATGCTAGCACAAAAACAGACACATTGGTCAATGGAATATAATAGAAAACCCAGAAATGGACCCACAACTATACATGGTCAACTAATACTTGACAAAGCAGGAAAGACTATCCAATGGAAAAAAGACAGTCTTTTCAACAAATGGTGTTCAGAAAACTGGATAGCTACATGCAGAAGAATGAAACTGGATCACTTTCTTACACCACACACAAAAATAAATTCAAAATGGATCAAAGACCTGAGTATGAGACAGGAAGCCATCAAAATCCTAGAGGAGAAGACAGGCAGCAAACCTCTTTGGCCTCAGCCATGGCAACTTCTTACAGATACATTTCTGGAGGCAGTAGAAACAAAAGCAAAGATGAACTATTGGGACTTCATCAAGATAAAAAGCTTCTGCACAGCAAAGGAAACAATTGACAAAACTAAAAGGCAGCCTACAGAATAGAATATACTTGCAAATGACGTATCTGATAAGGGTTAGTATCCAGGGGCGCCTGGGTGGCTCAGTTGGTTAAGCATCAGACGCTTAGCTCAGTTCAGATCTTGATGTCAGGGTTGTACAATCAAGCCCTGTGTCGGGTCCACACTGGGTATGAAGCCTACTTTAAAAAAAAAAAAAAAGGTTAGTATCCAAAATCTATAAGAGCTTACCAAACTCACCACCCCGAAACAAATAGTCTAGTTAAGAAATGGGCAGAAGGCTTGAACAGACCTTTTTCCCAAGAAGACATCCAGGTGGCCAACAGACAACATGAAAAGATGCTCATCATCACTCATCAAAACCAGGATTAGATAGCACCTCATACCTGTTAACAACAAATATCGATAAGGATGTGGAAAAGGGGGAACCTTCTTACACTGTTGGTGGGAATGCAGACTGGTACGTCTACTCTGGAAAACAGTATGGAGGTTCCTCAAAAAGTTAAAAATAGAACTACCATACAACCCAGCAATTGTACTACTAGATATTTACCCAAAGGATATAAACATACTGATTTGAAGGGGTAGCTACACCAATATTGATATTATTGGTTATCAATAGTAGCCAATTTGGCTATCAACAATAGCCAACAACAAAAAGTGGAGAAGCCCAAATGTCCATCTCCTGATGAAAGGACAAAGAAGATGTGGTGTACGTGTGTGTGTACACACACACACACACACACACACACACACACACACACACACACTGGAATATTACTCAGCCATCAAAAATAATGGAATCTTGCCATTTGCAACAACATGGATGAAACTAGAGTGTATTATGCTAAGTGAAATAAGTCCAAGACAATTACCATATGATTTCACTCATGGAATTTAAGAAACAAAATGATTTACATATAGGGGAAGGGAAGAAAAGAGAGAGGCAAACCGTAAGAGACTCTTAACTATATAGAGAGCAAACTAAGGATTGCTGGAGAGGAGGTGGGTGGAGGATGGGCTAAATAGGTAAAGGGCATTAAGGAGGGCACTTGTTGTTATGAGCACTGGCTGTTATCTGTAAGTGATGAGTCACTAAATTCTATTCCCGAATCCAATATTATACTGTATATTAACTAACTAGAATTTAAGTAAACGCTTAAAAAAATAGTCTGCTTCTGTTACCATAATATATGTCAAAATAGTTTTCTGTTCAGTGAATTGAGTATCCTCAGCTGTTCAGCATGGCATGGACAGAAAGTGAGGGACCTCATTAATATACATCAGGGATAACTTACAGTTGAAATTTCTGTCCTAGTTGAAAAGATGAGACAGCAGAGATATTTTTGAAGACAGCTTTAATTTGTCCGCCATTAGAGTTACACAGCTCCGTTCTCGCTTTGCCTTCTACATGTGACATGCGACTGTGTTCTACTATTCTAGGATTTTTTCTCATAGTCCTCTTGGTAGGGATTCCATTTATTTTTCTCTTGTGTTAGATCTCCTGTTTCCTGTATCTCCCATTTTCCTCCTTCTTGATTTTCTCTCTCATAATTGGTGGCACACGTCTTCGAAGGACAACTTGAGAAAGTAGTTTTTTTGGTTGCTTGCATATGGGAGAATTTCTTTCTCTTCATGTTCAATTAATTCTTCAGTTGAGTATAGGTTTCTAGGTTAGAAATATTTTTCCTTCCAAATTCTATAAACAACACTTTGCTGGCTTCAAGTGTTTAGTCAGCGTTTTACCAGATTTAGAATAGATTTCTAGTTTTATAAAAGCCTTAATTTTGTTCTGTAGGTGTCACAGTTCGAGTGCCTCAAGCAACTACATATGTTGTAAACAATGGACTAACCCTGGGATCAACAGGACCTCAGCTCACAGTGCATCACCGGCCACCACAAGTGCATACTGTAAGTGTCGATGCTCATATTTCCAAAATGTTTACCTGTAGACCTGTCAAATATTATTGTAGTTTGCATTTATTCTTCAGGCAACAGAAGTTAATTTAAGAATATAGATCTTACCATTATGAACAAATTTTCTTAGGGATGTTGGTCATCAAGGATCATTGATTCTGCTTGTGGTGGTGTAAGTGTATAAGAAGAGTCCACAGCTGGTATGTGTGAAGTGAAATAGAGCATTAAAAATTTTTTTTTATGTTTTTAATTTATTTTTTAGAGAGAGAGAGAGAGAAAGCATAGGAGGGACAGAGAGAGAGAGAAGGAGACACAGAATCCGAAGCAGACTCCAGGCTCTGAGCTGTCAGCACAGAGCCCGACGCGGGGCTTGAACCCATGAACCACGAGATCATGACCTGAGCCGAAGTCGGACGCTTAACCGACTGAGTCACCCAGGCACCCCTGAAATAGAGCATTTTAAGCTCATGGGTAGGGGTGCCCAAGTGGCTCAGTCAGTTAAGCGTCTGACTTCAGCTCAGGTCATGATCTTGCGGTTCCTGAGTTTGAGCCCCACATCAGGACTCTGTGCTGACAGTGCAGAGCCTGGAGCCTGCTTCAGATTCTGTTTCTCCCTCTCTCTCCCCTCCCCCCACATGCGCTCTTCTCTTTCTCTCTCTCTAAAAAGTAAATAAACATTAAAATAAAAATTTAAAAAAACCTCATGGTTAAATTGAAAAGAGTATTTTTGAGTGTTTAAAGAGTATTTTAAAAAGTATTTTTTCTAACTTATTTTTTTCCTCAGAACCTTATATCAGTTCTAACTGGTATATTGCCATCACTTTATTGTTTTTTATTAATCCAGTGACATTGGGAATTCATTTATTAAGAGATGACATGGATCAAAGATGTCTCCTTAGATTTAGGCTCCAAAACAATGTCACAATCTTCCGTGACATGATTAGAACAGCATTTGGTATGGTACACCATGTAAATGGACATGTGGGCTTTATGAGAAGAGAGGAGATTGAGGCTTCATATCACTTTTCACCCAAGTGTCCTTTTTTAAGTATACATAATAACAGCTAGCATTTCTTGAGCACCTCCTCTGTGCCAGGCACTGTTAATATACTTGGTCCTCACTCAGCAATCCTTTAGGACTCTTCTCTCCTTTTTTATGCTTTATTATAGATAGGGCAGCTGATGCATAAAGATGTTGAATAACCAACCCAAGGTCATAACTCATGAAAACCCATGCATTCCAGTGTTAGAACCTATCCTCTTAACAGCTGTTATTTTTACTATTCCACAACAATGAAAAAATTAATGTTAACAGAGCACTAACTGTATACCAGGAGCTCTACCAAGCACTTTACATGTATTATTTTATTTAACATCCCTAGGTGTATTATTATTCTCCTTTGATAGGAAAGGGTACAGTGTCACAAAGATGTTAAGTGGTTACTTAGGTTACTCAGGGTCATTACCCAAACTAATGTCAGAGCCATTTTAACTAAGGTTGTCTGATCCCAGCACCTGCAGTGTGTTTTCAGTGTTTCAAATCTGGCCCTGTTAGGATATGTGGTGAATATACCATTACTGTTGTTTGCAGCTACAAATAACTTCTTTCATTCCATGTTTCTTCAGAAACTATATAGTAAATATCTCTAATACCTTATAGTTTGCAAATTTGATGACCCATCAAGAGCTTTTGTTTTTTTTTTTGGTCAAGAACATTTTTTAAAAACCAGGAGCCCATGGGGTGCCTGGGTGGCTCAGTCGGTTGAGTGTCCAACTTTGGCTCAGGTCATGATCTTACGGGTAGTGAGTTTGAGCCCTGCGTCAGGCTCTGTGCTGACAGCTCGGAGCCTGGAGCCTGCTTCAGATTCTGTGTCTCCCTCTCTCTCTGCCCCTCTCTCTCTGTCTCAAGAAGAAAAAAAAAAAACAAAAAAACACTAAAAAAACCCACAAAAACAGGAGCCCATGTGTATTGTCTTAGTAGAATAAACTGTATCTTACAGGAGGAACATTCTTTTATTTTAATTAATTTAGAAGATGGTTTTAAATAAGAATTTCAAATATATATAAAAATAGTATACTATAGTGATTCCTACTTACCCATCACTCATCTTAACACTTGTCAGCGTATGGCTAAACTTTTTCATCTGTATTCACCCATTTATTCCAGCAACCCAAATATATACTGGATTATTTTGAAGCAAATCCCTATCGTATCATTTCATTTGTAAAACTTGAATAAAAATCTCCATTGCAGTGGCAAGAATAAAAAAGACAAAACTCAGTTGACTTAATATTAAGTTTTAAGATATGAGCAGATTCAGAGTCTTAGAATTTTAAGAATTAGAAGGTATATAACAGCTATTAAAGCTGTTGTCAGACTCGTCAAATTCCTCCTACCTTCAGTTAGATTCATGGCTTCAGCCATCTTCTCTTAGATCTTGCTGGCTATATGTTTATTTAGTGTTATTTACTTATGTGATTAAATTATTTGAGGAAAAAAGACAATTTGAAAGAGAAAATATAGCAACATGGCCAGTATTTAAATCACTTCTACTTCTCCAACTTTCAGTGTTTTATTTAAATTTTATTCTTTTCCCTTCTGACTTTATGTTTATTTTAGCTTTTTAACTGTGAATTGTATCCTTTTCCAGATGTGTATATGAATGTTTTCCACCAGGCATATGAATTTAAGCAGATTTGTATTCCTTGAAATTATCCTTTTTGAGTTCTTCCTATGTGCACATTACTGCTACTAAGCTTTGACAAGGGATAGAGATTAAAAAGATACCAGACCTTCACAGAATTCACTATTTAGTGTATATAAATTATCCATTTTATGAAATGCGTATTAAAACACAGTTCTTGTGAAATGAATTTCAGTTAAGGAAATCTTTGTTTCAGACTTTCAGCCTAAAGTCAGTGAGCAGTGATATGTTTCACTTGGGAAAAAAAGATCACTGGTATCCCTGTTTCCTGGTTTACACTTGAATCTTTTTTGAAAAAATTATTATCATTGTAATCTTTATTAAAATCTAGGTATAATGATAACAATGCCCAGTGTTAAACAAGTCAATTTGAATTGGTCCACTTAATAGTCACGCTTTTTCATATGGCCTTAACAGCTACCTTTTCAAATTTATCTTTTTTATTCATACACCCTATTTCTAAGTAAAAGTTAATGTTTGTTTTTGCCCCTAAATCCCTTTACTTTCCTATCCCTTATTTATGCTTTACCTATTGGCAGAAAAGAACATGGCTCTTCCTGCATTTCTAAATCTTACCGTTCTTAGTGCACTTTCAATGTCACCATTTTTGTGCAGACTGACCAAGAACATAATATACATTCAGCATTAAATGTGCTTATTCATGGTATGCTACTGTCTTTAGATAGAAAAATGGCCTAAAAATAAAAGTAGAGTTAAATACTCAAATTATTTACTATAGACTGTATCATAACACGTGATATTTTAAAATGTTATATTATTCTAAAATAAGAATCTGTAACATAGGTAAACATAAATTATTTTGTTCAAGATAGATGATTATTTTAGCTTCTATCAAAATGATGTTCCATTAGCAAAGGCTTTTATTTCCTGAGGAAAGCGCAATTTTTTTAGATGTAGAAAGTATACAGGAGTAACCTCAGCACCATTGTTTATGGCATGATTGGTTACAAATCACCAAATAGGACTAGCCATATGTGCCATAGTATATGGTATTTCTTGGTATCCTTTTTTAAATTTTTTTTTTCAACGTTTATTTATTTTTGGGACAGAGAGAGACAGAGCATGAACGGGGGAGGGGCAGAGAGAGAGGGAGACACAGAATTGGAAACAGGCTCCAGGCTCTGAGCCATCAGCCCAGAGTCCGACGCGGGGCTGGAACTCACGGACCGCGAGATCGTGACCTGCCTGAAGTCGGACGCTTAACCGACTGCGCCACCCAGGCGCCCCATTGGTATTCTTGATATAAAATGATATTTCTCTAAATGACCTCTAAGATGTTTTAGTTGTAGCATTCAGAAATAGTCCTTTCTGTAATCATTATTAAGTCAACATGACTCTTTTTTTGTTAGGAGCCCCCCCGCCCTGTGCACCCAGCACCCTTACCAGAAGCCCCACAGCCACAGCGTCTGCCCCCAGAAGCTGCCAGCACATCTCTGCCTCAGAAGCCACACTTGAAGTTAGCACGAGTTCAGAGTCAAAACGGCATTGTACTGTCATGGAGTGTCCTGGAGGTAGATCGAAGCTGTGCCACTGTGGACAGCTATCATCTCTATGCTTACCATGAGGAACCCAGTGCCACTGTGCCCTCACAATGGAAAAAGATTGGAGAAGTAAAGGCACTTCCCTTGCCCATGGCATGCACTCTCACCCAGTTTGTATCTGGCAGCAAATACTACTTTGCAGTACGAGCCAAGGATATTTATGGACGTTTTGGACCTTTCTGTGATCCTCAGTCAACAGATGTGATCTCTTCTTCCCAGAGCAGTTAAACCTTGGAGCCTCTATCTCTTCCTCTTTCTGACTTCCACTTTTTGGTCTTGTTTTAATCTTGTGCATGATATCCATTGTAAAATCCACATTGTGCAAGATTTCTTGGACAGCTGTGTATATACACTACATTTGTTTATAATCAGAAGTAAAATAAACAGCCCATAAAGCAAGAATCTTCTCCTGGACAATTGAAGCTTCAAGGTTTTGAAATGTAAATGTGCACCTTGCTTTAGTTTTAAGGCTGGGGAATATGTGTGGGTGTTTATGTGTGTTTTTCCCTATTTATATGTTTACTGCGGTGGAACCTCCTATTTCCATTCTCAATTTTACCTCTCTTCAGGTATTAAGTAAGTAGATCGAGGGATCAGAAGTATGGTATGTAACTGGCATGATTCTACTTCTAAGGGATCTGTAGGTTCATGGTTAAATGATTTAAACTGAATCTAAACAAAACCCAAAGAAAGAAAGAAAAAGAAAAATGGTGAAATAGTTTAAAATAGGTTCATTTGAACACAGGAAAGAATCTGTTTGTCTTTTTTCTTTTGTTGGTTGTTCATTAGGTAAAAAAGATCTGCAGTGGCCCCTCTCTTTCCTAATCTGACTCTTACATTTATTTTGTGCCTTAGAGATTAACTACAAAAATAAACATGACCATTTGTCCATTGTTGATCTTCTCTTTCAGGCTTTCGCCCTTCATTTCTCCTTCATCTCCACTAAATATAGCACACCTCCCCTCAAGTCACTTTTAAACCAATCCTTTTAGGTATATTCTTATCAGTGGCATCACTACATTTAACTCCCCAAATTTGACTTGCTCTTTTCTTCTAATAATGTAAGTGCTTTTATCTTTGGTCACTATTTAAATTAACTGTGTAAAATGGACCAAGAAAGACCATATTATGTAAGAAAATTGTTCTTCAAACATATTTTAGGATTTATGTTGCATACTGTGTTAGAGATTATAAAAGCAGTGTTAGTTCTCTTTATCACTCGAAGCATAGTATTCTTTCAAATGTAGTAAAGAATAAAATTCACAAAGTACAGTGAACTAAAATATCAAAGGGAAAGCTTTATTTCCTCATTGTCATATCATTCTTTCTGTTTTAACCTTTTAATAACTTTATTTTGATGGTGCCAAGTTTTGTCTGATTTACCCTCTGTCAGCTTTAGATAGGATTTGGGGTTATTTTATTTAACAGTTAGGTATAACTTTCTGTGTCTCTCTGTTCCTGTTCAAAGTTAATCAAATTCATTTTAGGTCCTGGACTTTCAGTATGAGTGCCAGCTCTCCTGGTTTCAGGTAGGTGTTTGAGGGTAGATAGTTTAGGGCAGGAGAAATGGGGTAAGTTTGGGGATGAGAGAGAATGATTGGGAATAGTGTGAAAGGAATTCATGGAGTTTGTCAAATAGTTTTTCAAGTCATCTTCCCTTACCTTATTTAAATTCCTACCTTCTCAAAATAAATTCATCTTTAGTTTTCCCTGGAATTATAGGAGGGAGCTATTCCTTCTGTGAATGCTGCTTTGTTTGCAACTTTGATGGCTTGTAATGAGAAGCATTCTAGTTGTAAAACTCTCATTAGAGACTTTCACTGGTCAGTGTACTGTCACATTAGGTGTGAAGTTTGATGCTGAAGAAAGTCTACAGATTGCCAAAATTGTAAATGTTCCAAACCTTCCTTTCAGTTTCAGAAAATGAGACCACAATGAGAATTAAAGTTTTTATCAATCAGATTTACCAAGCATGTAGATGTTACTCATTCTAGGACTGATGGTGGTAAAGAAGTTGCCAGTGTCATGCCAATCAAAATTCTGAAAGGGAGAATTTGATGATCTTCTAGATGTGTATGAACACCTATCTATATCTGCATGTATATATGTTTTTACCTGCAATGGTTGCATTGTTGATTATGTGATCAAGATCATTCCTGTCTGCAGAATGGAAGGCCCGTGTTCAAAATTGTTCTTTATTGGCCAGTTTATGGTCATGTGATGACAATTTGCCCTAGCCTAGAAAAGCTTCCCTTGGTGAATGTTTTTATTTATATTCACTAATCTTTTTTTTTTTAAAAAAGCTTTCATAGCATTATGTAATCAGGCAAAGAAGCCCAGTAGAATGAAAGTATTTTAGCCTATATTGTGTGTTTTCTGTCAAAGGAAGAAATAATAAATTACCAAACAGTAACCCTAAAAATATATTTACTACAGCAAAATCAAACTTTTTATTCCAGAAGGTGGAAGGAAGGAAGCTACAAAGAGAGACTAATTATTTGAGGAAAGCGTTTATTATGAGATGCTTTCCTCAGATTAGCCTGCCATGGGATTTATAGGCAACATCTATATTGAATTTACTGAAAAATGCTAGGCTTAGAACTGTTGGCTTTTATTTTGGGCAGGTTTTAATGTTGATGAGCTGACTTTCTGTTTGGTTCATTTCTTTTGGGAGAAAGAAAGGAGGACTCAACTAGAAATAGCTACTGATTACAGACCATATTGTAGCAATTCACACTCCATGGTACCTTTTTTATTTCATGGTACCTTTTCACAAAGTATTACAGATAAGTTTGATTATCCCATTTTGGGAATGCAAGTTTGCTGCATTTTTAGCTGGACAATACTTGTCTAAGTGCTGCCTTATTGGAAATTCTGAAAACTTCTGATATATTGACCTAAAATGTAGGGTGTTCATATGGCTTTTAAAAAGTAAGTGATGTTTGTTACTCTCTGTTTTGCACTTTGTCAGAGTAACTTTCACCCTGTTTTAAGTGTAAGCCTCATTTAAAAATTATGTTCTTGCCAGTAAATTTATAAATTACCAAAACAACATCTGTTGTTAGCTGTTAACTTTATGAGGTAACTATATCCCTGTTTCTTTGGACTCACTTTAAAATATGCAGAATACTGTTTAACACAGTAGACGTTTATGAGAGAAGTGAGGGCATACAGCTTTCTTCCTTGAAAAGTGAGTATTTATTGGCATGTCATTTGCCTCACAGAGAGTGTTCCCCACTCACCCTACCCCGATTGCTGGATAATAAATAAAAGGTTTAAATGAAAAACGTGACCTAAAGCAAGGAGCTTAGAATCTTTGGTACATCTGTCTGCAAATTCCTTAGGTGGGCTGCACTATACAGTTCTCTTACTGTATTGGGAAAGTGTTAACTTAGTTTTTGTCGTTTGCTCTTTTGCTTACATTTTCCAAATTATCATTTATGCAGCCAGGTGAATGTTAATATTGCATGATATGCACTTATCTTGTTCCACGAATTTTCCAGTACTGTACAAAATTAACAAAATAATGCCTGTGGTATCTTCTCTTACTTTGATATTTGATACACTGTGATTTTAGCACAGTAGAGTACTGAAAAGACCTTCCAAGTGTTCTCCCCAACTTTCCTTCTTGGGCTATTTCAGTATCATATGAGTTATATGTTATTTTAATTCCATCATTGACCAGTCATTGGCCTATTTTATTCTAATTTCCAGAAAAAACCATGCCCCAAATTTGGATTGTTGGAAATAAGTCTCTCTAAAAGCAATGTATGATTTTTCCTTCCTTACTATTTACTGGGTGGGTGATGCCCCTCTCCCACTTTTTAAAATTTTTGGACAAACAAAAAGAACAGGTGTTTTGTTAGTGTGACAGACGTAGATCTAATTCCTAAAACATATTCCCCTTGAGCCAGCCAATGGGGAGGAAAGGATGATAAAACACACGTTTTGTCTTCTCATCTTCAAATAGTTTTATCATGTTACGTAAGTTTCTTTATTATTATTATTTTTTTAATTTGTAGAGTCAGCTAAGTACCCATCATTTATGTTTAAATGCTGAGGGGGGGGGTTGTTTTTGTTTGGTTTGGTTTTCGGTTTTTTTTTTTTTACTTTTTGTACATAAGGTAACTGGGCAATCAAACACCTTTTGGGGGATCCTGGCTTTATTATTTTCTCAGCCATTTCAAAATTAAATATAAAAGAAAATCTTTTGTAGGAAACTTGCATCCTGATTTTTCTTTATTGCAGGTGAAAGTGTAAATAGTAAGACAATGTTTAAGACCTTCCTAATGTCTAATATAAACTGGGCTATAGCAAGTTGCCCTATTTTTATTAGGTTTTGAAGGTTTTTGTGTTTTTTTTTTTTTCTTTTTTAAATGTACAGTAGAGTGGTGTCTGTATAAGTGTTAACTGTAGTGGGATTTTGTCCAGCAAGCCTGACATTTATACTTTGAAATAAACTACTGGGTTTTTAACATTCTGAGTATTCTGATTCATTGTAATTATTCTCAGCCCTTGTGTTGCTTTTGGAAGTTCTCACCTTATTAAGAATCACCCGTTATACTGTGTAATATTGTTTATTTAACCTACTTGGCAATATTTCAGCACTCAAACCACATACAGTTCTCTAGCTTTGAAAGAAAAACTGCTCTATACAGTTTTGCTCCCAGATTAGATATGCTGCTTTTAACTAGTGGGAGAAAACATTAAGGTCATATTGTGTGCCTAGTCTGCACCATGAAGAATCAGCTGGTGCTTATTAATGATCAGAAAAATCACTAACTGCATTTCCATTAGAGGTTCCTTTGAAAATGCAGTTCCACCATCCCCTAGGGCTTGCCCTTAAGTATATCCAGCCAGGGGAAGGAGAAAGAGCACGGAAGAGTACAGGTTTTTAGGGGCCGAGCCCAGAAGTGACACTAATTTTGGACTCCTTTGGCAAGAACCCTGTCACATGGCACAACTATCTAGGGGAACCTGGGTGATGTGTTCTGTGTGGCCAGGCATAAAAGGAGAATATGGATCTGGCTGAGCAGTTTCTGCCATACCGTCCTGTATATAAACTTGTATGCTGAAGCCAGTTACTTATCTTCTAGAATATTTCCTCTACACTCTGTCACCCTATAGTGAATGTTTGTTGCCAAAACCTACAAAATCAATAGTAGAAAATAAAAGTGACAGACTGAATTTAATATATTTTATTAAGATTAATTCTGAATGGAAAAAACATAGCTAAAATAGTGCCTTTGGAATCTTATTTGCGACCTTCTATTCCCTTCTATTCCCTCAAATCCCTCCTTCATTTTGTGTCCTGTTTCAAAATTGGTTTCATGATAATAAAATCAAAGTTGTAGGTCTCTGGCATGCCCTGGTGGAGAGTTTTGTTGAAACGGTTCCAGTGAAAAACAGGGAGGCCATCTTGTACTGTGGGACCACTGATGGCATGGGCTGTGTACGCTGATGCTAGGTAGATATCGGCCACCTGGAAAGGGAAAGGAGAGGGACATTTTAGAAAAAACCATTTGGAAAAAAATTCACTAAATCCCCGTTTTTTCCCTTTTTTTTTGTTTTTGTCCTTTTTTTTCCAAAGTCACAATATTAGCCCCCCTTTTAAAACAAAATCTTGCAAGCTCCCACAATATGCTCTTCCATAACCATTTGGCGTTCCAATGTGAATTGAGCAGAAGTGCATTAGGTTAACGTAGCCAAAAGTGTGAGGTCTGGAGTCAAAGTGCTCATATTCAGAATTCTAGCTCCAAAACTTATTTTAAAATAACCACTATTTGGCTCAGTTTTCTAATTTGCAAAAGGGTAATAACCCAACTTCTTGGAGGGGTTGTCAGAAGGAGTTAAGGAGCAGTTTATGTGAAGCAGAATGTAGGCTTCAATAAAAGTTGTTATTAGGGCAGTAACGAGTTTTAAAGTAGAAGGAACTCTATTAAAATAGGAGGTCTGTGGTTCTCAAAAGCACCTAAACATTGGATAGCACCAGATCTTAACCTTAGAGAAAAAGGAAGAACATGTCTCCTAACTTCTGATTTTCCACATATTCAAAATGGCTCAAGAAAAATGCTAATAAATTAAGTATATCCTTTAGCAGAAACTCTTCTGATGAAAAATCAGCAGACTCCTCTCTCCAGAAGAAAGTAAATTTGGCAGATGGAGGCTTGGCTTGGGTTCTCTCAGGCAAGGCAGCAGACGTGATTCTCTTTGTGTATTCGGGAATGGTTAGAACACTTCTTGCACACTTTACTGAATGTTTGCAAATACCATTAAAAAGAAATAAACATTCACTGGGGTTTCATGTGTGCCAGGCTCTCTATACCCACTAATTTTTTTTTCAACTTTACACAACATATTTACTTTACACATCATTAAGACTAGAGCTTTCCTGTAGCTAAAAAGTAGCTTGAGTAGGAACGAGACTACTCTGAAGCCTATGAGGCAAGTACTATTATTATGCCCATCTTCCAGATAAGGAAACAAGCATTACAAGATGGTGGAATTTACTATTTGGCAGAGGAGGACCTTGAAGTTAGGCAATGGGACCTACTATCAGAATCTCTTAAAAAGCTGACTCCTGGGGCGCCTGGGTGGCGCAGTCGGTTGAGCGTCCGACTTCAGCCAGGTCACGATCTCGCGGTCCGTGAGTTCGAGCCCCGCGTCGGGCTGTGGGCTGATGGCTCAGAGCCTGGAGCCTGTTTCCGATTCTGTGTCTCCCTCTCTCTCTGCCCCTCCCCTGCTCATGCTGTCTCTCTCTCTCTCTCAAAAATAAATAAACATTAAAAAAAAAATTGAAGGTATAAAAAAAAGCTGACTCCTGAATTGACTTTATGGTCAGAGACAGTATTGTGCTTTATGCCGCAGAAGTCCCTGCAGCTTTGCCTTTGAATAGGTTTATGTGCTGGTGAAAATTAAATTCAAAAGCCAATAAGCATGTTACCTTCGTGTCATAGCAACCTCCAGGACTTGGGTTAAGTGAGTTCAGGTCCTCACGGCAGCAGATGGTATTGCAGGGATCGCCCTTACTGTAAGGATCCTTTTTATAATCTAGAAAACAGTGATGGGGAAAAGGGTGAGTACTGGCTATTCGGAGATACACCTACCCCCTGGTAAGCCTTTTGGACCTGCTGAAGTATATAGATGATCAGAGAGTATGCTCCAGTGGCCTCTTTGACCTAGTCTGCTCTCAAGAAACTTGCACGGTGAAGAGTTGACAGAAGAGAGGTAATAAAGGAGAAATGTGCATCAATGTTTTTCTACAAAATAAATACAAATTTGATGCTGTTCATCACAAATAAAGTATTCATGAATAATTTTTGTTTTATTAGCTGCTTTTGTCCTTGGAAGAAAACCTGGGTTAGGGTTGGGGGGGGGGGGAGTGGTAAAAAGAAAGTACACTGTATGAGTTATTCTGTGTTTTACATATTTTTTCCCAGTTAAAAAAACATGTAGAATCTTTTTCCCTGTCATTTTATAAAATAGGACAAAATTCTATTTGTTCAGAATAAAATATGTATATTGTTGATTGAATACTGAATACTTAACTTCTTATAATTCCTTCTAGTACAGAGATGGATTCTTTACATGGGGAAACTTACATGGATTCTTTATCCCTTTGGAAGAAAAGGAGTTTTGAAGAATGATTCTTGAGAAATGTGCTACGTACTGTTGTATCGCATGATATATTTCATGGATGCCATATCAGTCACTTTCCCTTGGTCACGCCGGAAGATTTTGGCTCGTGAAGCCATATCATAGGAGTACTCCAAACCCAGCTTCTGAACTAACATTGGATAGCCACTCCAGTTGTAGATCTTTTCATGGAAAGGAATGTTGTAGGAGGGCCAATATCCTGATTTGGAATGGAAAGGAAGCAGGGAGACAGACAGAAAAGAGAGATGGGACAAAATAGATGTTATTAGTGATAGTTTCTTTTGAAAATTGGCACAGGTGTGTGATTACAAAATGATATTATAAAGAAAATTAAACTTTGAATGTGAACACTGGCCTTCACACTGGATCCTTTTAAATTTACAGAATCAGTATACTTCTAGATTGTTCCATTAGGCAAAGAAGAGCATCAGAATTCTTTATTTCTCACTCAAAATTCTTAAAGCAATCTGTTAACCAGAAAATAACTTTATTATCTATAGAGCAAAATGAAGCATAACACCGAGTGGTCTGGGGGAATTGGTTTAAGTTGGTTTAGGTTAGTTACTGAAATGCCAAAAGATGGTTTCACAATGTGGCCCCACCAGGGAACAGGCCAGATGCTAATCATGGGATAGTGGAAAAACACAGTACCTAGAGTTGAGGAAACCTGAATTCTAGGCTCAGGGCTGACTCTCTAGGTCTTAGGCAGTTAACGTCACTTTATTTTCTTTTTTAACAGGGAGAGGGAAAGGAAGAATCCATGGTTTGAAGAGACTAGAGATGATCTTTAAGGTTCCAGTGGGTTTTAACTTCTTTGTAAGCATTCATTAAGGCTTAGCTTCATTCAGAACTTCATAATGTGCCAAGGCCACAGAGCCCATTAGTCACGAAGCATCAAACATGTGACACAGCTCTGGTACAATCAATATTTCAGGAACATCCCATATTACAATGGCCTGGGCTACTGTCCATAGGACAGTCAGTCAACACAGGGACTCCTCCATCACTCAGGGGCTAACCTCCCACCCTCATATTGTCTTGGCATTGGTTTGCCTTTCTCCTTTTTTTTTTTTTTTTTTAACTGTTTTATAGAACCCCCTACTTTGGGGTGAGGTCACTGATTAAAAAAATGACAAGACATCCAATGGTGCTGATTCTGGGACACAGACCAGCATCAGGAAGAACTGAGATAAAGACAACATTGAAGTGACAGGCTAAAATCATGTGTATAATATAGTATATCTAGGCTACATATAGATTTAGGAATTAGACTGCCTGGATCTGAAGCTTGGTTCTGCCATCATTAGGTATGTGACCTTAGACAAAATATTTAAATTCTCTGTGCTTCAGTTTCTTCATCTATAAAATGTGAACAATGACAGTACTTACCTTATAAGGATTATTATGAGCATTAAATAAGTTCAAACAGATGAAATACTTACAATAGTGTCTAATACTTGGTAAGCATTAGATGAATATTAACTATTATATTTCTCTCCCTTTTTTTTTTAACTTTTTAATGTTTATTTTTGAGAGACAGAGAGAGAGCATGAGTGGGGGAAGGGTAGAAAGATTGGGAGACACAGAATCCTAAGCAGACTCCAGGCTCTGAGCTGTCAGCACAGAGCCCGATGCGGGGCTTGAACCCACTGTGAGATCATAACCTGAGCCAAAGTCGGATGCTCAACCGAATGAGCCAACCAGGCACCCCTATAATTATATTTCTCTTTACAGATCAAATGAATAATATATTTCTCTTCACAGATCAAATGAATAATAAAAATAGCTGCTTTATCCTTCACATTTTCATAAAGCTTCACGATTTACAAAAACATTTAAAATAGAGTATCTTGTATATTTCCCAACAACCTAATGATGTATAAGCATTACCATCCTTCCTAATAAAGGAAGAAATAGAGCTTCAGAGATGACAGATGCCTCCCTTCTGATCAAGGGCTTCTATCGATATACCACAGCTGCTTCCAAGTTTTGGAAGCAGGGCCTGGGTGGCTCCATCAGTTAAGTGACTCTTGATTTTGGTTCAGGTCATGATCTCATGGTTCATGAGATCCTGCGGAGCCTGCTTGGATTCTCTCTCTCTTCCCCTCCCTCACTTGTGCTTGCTCTCTCTCTCTCCCTCTCAAAAATAAATAAACTTTAAAAAAAAGAAAGGAAAAGAAAATTCTAGGAGGCTCATGGGACTTTTTGTCTTTTATCATAATGGCTATATGATATCACTTAATAATTTGGGCAAATCACATATTTCTTTCTGAGCCTTTCTTTCCTTACAGTAAAATGGTAACAATGCCACTTAATCTGGAAGTATGTTAATGAAGACCAAACAACGGAACGTAAGTAAAAGGCCCAGAAGGGACTGCCTAGTATATAGGAGACAATGAATTTAACTGTTTTTCCCACCACTGGCAAAATAACTACAAACAGATCACCATCAGCTTTTATTTTAGTCCCAGGGTAGGTTTCTTCATGGGATCTAGGAACCACATTGCAAAGAACCTGAATCTGCCCTTCTATAATCAGCAGCGGTCCAAGAAAAGGCCTTGAATAATCTGTCCCCTTCAACACGCGTCTCCCTCTTGAGGCATGCTAGTTTTATAAGGCTCTTACCAGCTGGATGAACCAGGCTTCAGGCTCAGACAGCAGAATTCAGTTTTGAATTGCCATCCTAACCAAGTGACTTCCTCATGATTTGACTTCTCAGGTCAATTTTCCTTCAAAAAAGGAGGTAGGTCTGCTTCTTGGTGGTATCTGATCTGCTTGGCAATTGAAGTTTCCACCTCCATTAACTCTGTTTTATGCAGATTATGAGCATGTAGCTTGTGTGAGCCATTTCTGCTGAGACGGCTCTCCCTGGATGTCATTATAAAATCTCTGGGGACCTGGGAGCCTGAGGACCAGGCCCTGATTTCCAGGGTCCATACCTTACCTTGGTTCCATTCCGACTCCTCTATCAGGTGATCTATTGCAATAGTTTCCTAACTAGACTCCTGCCTTCTCTCTGACTTCAAGTCTGTTCTCCCTTTTCAACAACTCCCATTTTCTAAAGGATAAAGTCTACACTGCTTAGCAGGATATACAAGGCTGGTATATTTCACCTTCCACTACCCACCACGTCAGAGCCTTCCCTCTAGCTGTCTCGAGCTAACGGTTTCTCAAACACACCACACTTTTCGTGCCTCCATTTGTCCGGGCATCCCCTTATCAAATTGGTGAGCTCTTTTTAACCTCTGATCGTCACTCGGACATCATCTGCGCTCCCATTTGTTCAACAAATGTGCAAATACGTTGTGTGTGCCAAACAGCAGGTTCAATGCAAAATAAAAGTACGTGCTTTGTGTCAGCAGTGTGCTCAAGAATCATCTCCCTTAATTCTCATAACAACTTTGTGAAGTTACAAGGGTGCACACTCCCACATCCAAAAACTCTTGGGGGCCAGATGTTTCAGAATTCAGGGTCTTGCAGACTTTAGAACAGCAATGGAGTTGCTGTATATGACACTGCAGCCTCCATGGGGAATATGTCATAAAGGCCCTGAAATTTCTGTAGCCTAATGTGTAGTCTACCTAGACGAGAGGAAATAAAGACTAAACGGGCAGGTCAAGTCTACCAAACTACCAAACTGGTAGGTTTTGCTACCCAAATGAGTTCAGGTCAGGTCATATTTTGCTACTAAGTTTACTAGGGGAAAACAAAACAAAACAAAACAAAAGCAACAGCAACAAAAATTTTGAGATTTCAAAATTACAAATAAGTGATTGTGGGCCTGTACCGCTACTGTCATGCTTTACAGATGAAGAAAGTGGGGCTTGGAGAGAGGGGATCATTTGTTTGAGATTTGGAGGAGCAGAGATTCAAATCAAGGCAGTGTCACTCCAAACCTTGCGCTTCAAATATATGAGTTCTGGTCTTGCCTTCCAGACCCGCCTTTTCTGATCCCTCCCACTGACAGCAGCTCCCACTGGGCTTGGGACACCCAGACTTTATGACTGCTCTTCCCTTTCTGGGTTCTAATGGCTGCTTTATGTGCCTTGCTTCCTCACTAGACTGAGTTTCTAAAGGTCACGGATTTTGTACCTGCATCCGTGCTTTTCCAGTCCCTGAGCCGAGGTAGCACCTCTATAAATATTTGCTGAATTTGACTCAAAGCTTTACTCAGGAACCAAGGAGAGAAGGTAATATTAGAGCTATGAGAAGTCATAAGATTACAAATGTCTGGCTTTGAGGGCTCCTGGGTGGCTCAGTCAGCTGAGCTTCTGACTCTCGATTCAGCTCAGGTCATGGTCTCACAGTCATGAGATCGAGTCCCATGTCGGGCTCTGCACTGACAGCGTGCAGCCTGCTTGGGATGCTCTCTCTCTCCCTCTCTCTCTCTATTCCTCCCCCACTCATGCTCATGCGCCTTCTCTCTCTCTCTCTCTCTCTCTCTCTCTCTCTCTCAAAATACATAGATAGACATTAAATAAATAAACAAATGTCTGGCTCTGTCACAAACTATACAATGCCACATAAAGAGTTAGAGGTGCAGATTTTACATGTTGAGCTGAACCCGGTAATTCTTTCCCAGCGTAACTAGCAACAGCATTCCCATCCTTTCTTTCCCACTATAGACCACCCGCCATGACACATTCACACGCCACACATTCCCCACCATATATACGTACACACTCACACACTCATCAGACTTCCAGACTTCTAGCATGAAGAAAGTACCTTTCCGTAGAACATTAGTTTGGTCAGAATATTCTACATATGTAGGAATTTGCTCCACAATATACAGAGTGTCGCTGTCAAGGCTGTACTTCGGCTTTATCTTCTTCAGGTCCAGGACCATGTATTGATTGTTGTAGGTGCCTGAAATATTGGGAGACACGAAGCAGAATGTGAGTGTGACTCTACTGGTTAACTCAAAATCTAAGCATATGTACATGTCTAAAAGCTACTCTCTCGGGCCACTCACCAGAGTTGTACTTTGAAAAGATCTCTGCCCACTGCCTGCCACCATTCGCCATCATATTGGCCACACGGACCCTTTGCCACGCCAGGAGAGACTGGGGTACCACAAGCTTCAGTAGGGTTTTATTATACACACTATTTGTGGTCTGTAGCAATATCAAGCCACTGCTAAGAATGTAAAAGTCATCCAGAGACTCCAAAAATCCTACAGGAGAGAGAAATACACAAATCAGCATACGTATGCCTGGTATATTCAACCCGACGTTATTAGCACAGCGCTTTGCGTACACGATGCATTTTGCGAAGAGTATTAGTTATAATGATCCCTATCTGCAGCAGGCCTCCCCTAGGTTGGAATCACCTCTGTGACAGTTATTTAACAGTTGCTTATAAAGATGCCAGTGAACCTCTGGCCTTAGATTCTCTACTGATAATTTTTTATTTTATAATTTGAACGATAAAAATATATTAAATCAGGACTATTCCAATTTTCTTTTTTTTTTTTTATTTAAAAATTTTTTTTTTCAACATTTATTTATTTTTGGGATAGAGAGAGACAGAGCATGAACGGGGGAGGGGCAGAGAGAGAGGGAGACACAGAATGGGAAACAGGCTCCAGGCTCTGAGCCATCAGCCCAGAGCCTGACGCGGGGCTCGAACTCACGGACCGTGAGATCGTGACCTGGCTGAAGTCGGACGCTTAACCGACTGCGCCACCCAGGCGCCCCCCAATTTTCAAAAATGATAAATAGAAATAGATTCCCCACTAACTAGGATTTTGCAGAACTTTTAACTAGGGAGCGATATTAATGGGGCTCATTGTTGGATAATAAGATTATGGATGCCTTCTTTCTTCTCTTTCTGCATTTCTGTATTTTCCAAATTTTACCTCGTGAGTCTACATGAGTTTTATAAATAGGAAAAACATCTACACTTACGTTGGTAAACATGGTTTTAAAATAGGATCTTGACACTTGGGTCAGTCACTGCTTTTTATAAAAGGTCGCAGCAATACGGGAAAATCAGTGAAGCCACATGTCTTTTTGAAAGGTCTGTTTTTCGCTTTATGCTTTGATAAGTGTGGTAGAAATCAAAGAATATCAGACCCAGCTATAACAATGGGAGAGAATATACTGTCACCAGCAACCAGTTGTGATGGACGAATTGTCAGTGGTGAAGAAACATCAGAGAAGGTCCCCGGTGAGAGAGTTAGAAGGAACCAAGGTAAGTATCTCCTCTGGTGTTTCCCAAACTCCCATAGGAGAGTGGAAATTTTGGGAGGCAGAGGCAAAAACAAACAAACAAACAAACAAAATACCATTAGAAAATATAGTTGGCCAAAGAAGACATACAAATGGCCAACAGACGCATGAAAAGATGCTCAACATCACTCATCATCAGGGAAATGCAAATCAAAACTATAATGAGATATCACCTCACACCAGTCAGAATGGCTAAAATCAAAAACACAAGAAACCACAAGTGTCAGTGAGGATGTGGAGAAAAAGAAACTCTCACGCACTGTTGGAATGCAAACTGGTGCAGCCACTCTAGAAGACAGCAGTTAAAAATAGAACTACCCTATGATCCGGTAATCTCACTATAGGACATTCACCCAAAGAATACAAAAACATTAATTCGAAGGGACGTACGCACCCCTGTGTTTATTGCAGCCCAAATGTGCATCAATAGATGAACGGATAAAGAAGTGGTATATATACGTACAAGGGACTATCAGCCACAAACGAGAATGAGATCTTGCCATTTGCAACGACAAAGATGGAGCTAGAGTGTATTATGCGAAGTGAAATAAGTCAATGAAAGAAAGACAAATACCATATGCTTTCACTCACATGTGGAATTTAAGAAACAAAACAAATGAACAGAGTGGGGTGGTGGGAAGAGACAAACCAAGAAACATTCTAACTATACAGAACAAACAGATGGTTACCAGAGGAGAGGTGGAGGGGCGATGGGTGAGATAGGTGATGGGGATAAGAGTATACTTACCTTACTGAGCACTGAGTAATGTATGGAGTTGTTGAATCACTACATTGTACACCTGAAGCTAATATAATATAATATAATATAATACTGTATATTCACTACACTGGAATTAAAAAAGAAGAAAATATAGTTGGACAGTCATTCGTTTATTCACTCAACGAACAAGCTATCGTGCCTCCGCTTTAGGCCTGGTAGGGTTAGGTAGGGTGCAAATAATGGGATCACTTGAGGCTAAAGATAAGCCTTCAGAGCTGCAGTGGGAGTCCGAAAGCCTACATTTTAGTTCCCTGCTTCACAACTAGCAAATTTGGCACTTCTCATTTAGCTTCTCCGTTCCTTACTCCCTTCCTCTGATAACCTGGGACTAAGTGATCATTCAGCGCTAACAGAGTATCTTTAATTTCTGGAAATTTCCGAGTAGAAAAGTTACATGATGAGAGCAGTGTCCAACTAGCTCATGATGAACCTCCACAAGGCTGTCATTAGCCTATACAGAAGTTTGCATAACAGAAGGTTGCACACTCCAGGTGCTTAATGAGTGGATGCCACACTTGAATGGACTTTAATGGGCAAAACTCCTCTTGGTAGGTACGGCCTAGACATTGGATGCGTGGCTTCACAAGCAAAGTGTGGGATGGATTTCAATGACCATTCATTCACCTCTTAAGCTGGGGTCATTTTGCAGTGTGCAAACTATACAACCACACCTGGCATTCTCGGGTAAGCCCTCTGGTACCGAACCTCCATAGGGTGGAAGGTTGTACTTCTGGCCTAATAAACTTATGAATTCACTCCTTGTAGCAACCTCCATGAACACAAGAGGGCAGGCATTCTTTAATATGTATGAGTGACGGACTAGTACTAACACGTAAGGAGCAGTGGTTCATTCAAGAGCAACACTTTATTAAAGATGGAAAAATGTAGGCTGCCCAGAGTTCTGGAACAAAGAGAATGAACTGGCTTGCAGCACAACTCTAGTTAAGAAGGTTAATTCTACAGTTTGGAGTTTAAGATGAAATAAAAAGGAAAAGGCTGAGTGGGAACAAAGCCCTAAAACATGACAAGAGAAACAAATGTTCTTTGACGATGTAAAATCATATTCTTGCTTTTATCTGCCATTAGCAGCTTTGAAAGGCAGACTATTTTAAATCAGGAGAAACTCAAGTTTGAAAGTCAGCCAGCAAATAACATTTCATAGGAAGCTGACTGCTGAATTTAATTAAGAAATCAAAGGGGACCCTGACACTTAATAAATCTCAGGACTTAAAACAAAAATCGCTTGAATCACAAAAATAAACAGTGACCACTACCCTCTGATGCCATTTAGACCCATTGGTTAGCACCACCCAGAAAAATGTACCCTTATTGTCCCATCAGGTGCATTTAAAGTGTGCCCATTCCCATATTGCATTAATTAACTGCTCCAAAGCTCCAGACCAAACACACTCATTTTTTCCAGAAGAGTAGAATCGGTGTTGACCAAGAACATAAATAACCTCCAACTCAGCATCAGTAGTCTGGATCGTGCTGCATTTCTTCACCCCCTCCCCCCATATTCTCTGCAATGTGACTTTGTAGCATCTCCCATCAAAAGATGTCTGGGTCCCCAGATCCTAGATCTGGGCTGGATTTGGCACTTACTTTGGCTAACGGAATGTGCCAATTCCGAGTCTAGGCCTCAAGAGACCTTGCACATTTCTGCTTACTCTCCTGTAACCCTGTTACTCCTGTATATGAGAGACCGCGTGGAGGAGGACCGACCCTCTCAGCCAAGGCCAAGTTCTAGCCCGCCAACCCCCAAATGTGCAAGGGAGTTCTTCCAAGGTCAGCAGAGCTGCCCACGGCTCCCCCCCCCCAACAGACAACCACAGATGCAGGAATGTGACCAGCTGAGTTGTCTAGAAAGAGCCACTTAGATGACCTGTGGACTCAAGAGCAATACTAATCACAAATTGTTTCCAGCCACAAAGTTTTAGAGGTTATTTTTTTTCCACAGAAAAAGCAAACTGATACAATAATAACTACCCGATTACACAATATATTTTGTTTTGAAATGTCTTACTGCCCTTTGATTTAACACAGGTGGCTGTGACCCTGTGGGAACTCTCTTTTCCCTCCTTTTTTTTTTTTTTTTCTTTTAAGAAAAAACAAATAACTAACAACCTTTAATCATGGTCAGCCTCTCTGCTCAGCTTCTTCCCACTGCTGAAGAGGGACGGTGCTCAGCCCCAGCTGGGCTCTCTGCCTTCTCTAAGCCAGTGCGATAATCAGTCAGTAAATTACTGTCCATCACACACAGACTATATCCCATGCACCACGCAATAATTCCCAGCTCACACTGTATCAGAATCCCCTCAGGAGCTTTCCCAAAAGGCTAACGCCCAGACTGCCCTCCCTGCTCCCCTCGCCTGCCCTCAGAGGCTCCACCAGAACCCCTGCTCCAGGGTTGCTGCCTGATGCAGGAGACCCCTCCTTCCCCGCTCTCAGGAAGGGAAGCCGGTGGGGCTCTCTCATATTCCAGGACACAAAAGCCCTCAGCCATTTATTTTGCCTACTAAACAATGGCCTCAGTCTTTCCCCCCTTCCAGAATGGCATTTAGTGAGTCATTATCGTTCAGTCAACGAAGTATTTATTTGAGCACATTTCTGCCTAATCCTGCAGGAGGAATGTGATCAATGGAGGAATCACACTATCGTATATTCAAGCGCATGAAGGCGGTACTGTGGGGTCTGAGCATCCCGCAGTGGTCCACATACAGGAATTGGCAGGTCTCTTAAAGATTATTTAGAGTGACTATAAAAAAGTTGGCTTTGGGGGCCCTGGGTGGCTCGGACGGTTAAGTGTCTGATTCCGGATCACGTCATGATCTCATTGGCTCGTGAGTTCGAGTCCCACGTCTGGCTCTGGGCTGACCGCTTGGTCAGAGCCTACAGCCTGCTTTGGATTCTGTCTCCCTCTCTCTCTGCCCCTCCCCTGCTCACGCTCTGTCTTGCTCTGTCTCTGTCTCTCAAAAATAAAGAAACGTTAAAAAACTTAAAAAAAATTTTTTTAAAGAAGTCAGCTTTATATTTAATCAACATTCTGTTATCATCCACATCAAAATGAAATGTTTTTCTTCAACAATGAATTATCTTATTTACTTTATATTAATTTGTTCACTGTTTTCTTTTCCATCTATCTCATAGCCTGTAAGCTCC